TCTCTGCCTCTGCGTTCTAATTGTAGCTTATTCCCAGGATGCCGTTTGTGTGCGGTTCGATGTATTGACAGGCTCTAAAAGGCAGGGCGTAGTATTCTGTAACGCTTTAGAGCACTGTTTTCACAGTTGGGATGGCCTGTTGTAGCAGGATCCCTATATGGCTCTGCTCAAGGGCACTGAAGCCCTGTACATATAGAGCAGGGATATCCATATAAAGGGCCTGTAAAAGGACAGTTTGTTTGCATGTTTTCATTGCAAAAAAGCAGGACACCCTGGATACAGACAATAGTGGCACTGTTCCACTCTCTGATGGCTGTTCTACATTTTCCCTATTTTTATTTTTTTTATTAAATTTAAAACGTTTCTTAAATTACATTCAATGTATACTTTAGTACACTTTACCAAGCAAAGAAAAAAAAAGAAAACCTGACTTAAAACACACTTATAATGGAAGACAGTGGGCAAGTGTACATTTACATTTACTGAAAGTATTCAGCAGCTGCTGGTTTCTATTCTAAGTGTAGTGGGAGTCAACAGGTTTTCTGTTCTTTTCTACGTACAGGGAAACGTATTGAAATTATTATCTGTGGTAACCTATCATATGCTACAAATACGGCAAAAAGAGATTAGGCTGAAAAATCCTGAAGTAGTCCTTATTCCCCCTAGTATTGGAATGCATAACTTGATCATTGAGTGGTAAACAAAGTAATTCAGAGTGGTTTGGTGGGAAATGGTTAATTGTAGAGACATTTACCAACTTCTTTACAGTGGTAGTGATAGGAACCTCACTGTCTGCAATGCCATAACAGCCGCTTTATTTACTGTCAAAGTGACCGGAAAAGCCATCTTCTGGGATTTTACATATACATATTACATATAACATAACATAATGATAAAGTGTCAAATCAGAAGAACATGAAAACTTGAATTTCAAGAAATTTTCTATGCAGACTTACACCGGCCTGCATGCATCTCTCCACCATGAATGGATTTTACAAAATACATTTTAGGCCAAAGCTTTATTTAAAAACTATTATAAAACAATGTCTCAATCATCCGGCAGCATGTTGATAACCATTTTGTGCAATAACTTTCTGTGAGGAAGCTTTTATAGGCTTCAGACATCCGGTTCTTATCAGCACCACTGTGAACAATTCTGACTCTGTAGGTTTGTGTAGAATGGAGCATTTCACATCAAACCACTCTGAATAACTTTGTTTACATTTTACACTTTAGTTATGTGGAAATTTTGGATTTTGTTTGGAAATTTATTGGAATTTGCCTTTAACATTCCTTAGCCCTCTATTGCACACTTTATGAGAGCAACGGGCCTCACTCTCCAGCTGTTCTTAAGAAGAAATGTCTTCTTAAAACGCACTTACTCAGTTTTCACTAAGAAGATTCTGACGTTCACCAATGTTTTCTTATTTGGGATCTGTTCTTAGGTAAGAACGGAATCTACACACACTCAGAGCACAAAGCTGTGAACAATCCTCAGTTTAAAAACACATCATGAATCTGATGTAGACCTTTTTCTTAGATATTGTGAAATGAGGCCCATTGTTTAGAAAAAAAGTTTGATTCACCGTTCTTGCATAAAATAGACCTGACAACTAAAATCATCTTTTGAGGTATGTTGCCTGGAGGCAACATTGTGCAACAACGGGGAAAAAATCAGAGCATCCTATAAGAAACTGGACTAAATATTTAATCTAAATATTTACAATAAACTGATTAATGTGTTTATCTTCAAATAATGCAAAACCAAAACAGAGAACAATTCTAATTCATGCTATTTTTAAAGAAATTTTAAACTAATGTTTCGATTTCTTAAATACCATTTAATTACATTTTTTAAAATGCCATTTTAAATCACAAAAAAGAGTTAAAACTATCCTAAAACAAAAGGTAATTTTCAAATAATCAGACTTGGTGCTCGTTTTCTAAAAAACATTTGATCACGCTGAATACTACGTGACAGAATTAAGAGGTATCTAGCCTCTAAAGTAGCCTCTGCATACACATTAAATATTTCTGTCAGTTAGACTTCCTAAGTAACACCTCACTTGCTGCAGGCTAAATTTATTCCACTGCTGCACAGTGTTGCTTGTAGGCAAAAAACTTATTTCTTCAATTTCTCATAAAGTGAAATGTCAAAAAATGAACTTCACATTTTAACAGATGTGAATCATATTCTTAGGTGGACGAAAAATTATATATACTTGCTTTTATGAGTGAAATTTTCTGGTGCAATAACAGGGTTCAACCACAAGCTGCACCATGCACAAGGCTTGTATTGATTTATTCAAACTCTTCTGTCCATTATAAACCATTTCACCATCACTAAATCTGTATGGGAATGGGTAATGTGAGGAGAATGGGTTTGTTACCCTGAGGCAACATTGCGCTATAGAAGATTAATCATTGTTCCTTTTTCAAATAAGTTAAGTTATTTTTGTGATAAGAAGAAAACAAGTAGTTGACCTTATAATAGTTCACAACTATTACATAAGCGGGTGGGTGACGAAATCATCCCCCCTTTGCCATTACAATGAAGTATGGTTAGATACCTTCTTGATGACTGTAAGTGTTCCTCTGAATGATGACTGCTGTTTCTCTTTTTGGGGTAGGGATTTTCAGACAGTTATGATGAAAGATGAGTCATATACTCCTAATCTACAGGCTTTGTCTCATGTGCTGTTGCACTTTTAACGGCCTCCAGAAATAGCTGAGTGGCCAAGGTCTCATGTGCTCAGGCAGAGGGTCAGACCGCTCATCTGACTAATGGATGGCACATAGACAAGCAGACAAGTGGCTATCGCTTCAGTAGTGAAGTGCATTCTTCTGCAATGCTGTATAAGAGATATACTGACACATACATTGATATGCAAATGTGCGCGCACACACATAGGCATGCACAAAGATATGCACGCATGCATGTGCACGCACACCAGCGCACACCCACACGTTATATTATGTACTTAATTCTCTGCTCTACTTAAAAGCTTTAATGCATTAACTGATGAGTACATATGTGACATATACCCGGACGGACATACTGTACAACATTAACAGACCTGTACGAATGGGCTTAAAGGAGTAGTTCAGTGTTTTTCAACCTAATCTCATTCTACCACATCTGTAGCATATGGTTGATTACCACAGATGATAATTTTGACATGTTTCCCTGTAGTGAATTACAGAACAGAGAACCCTTTGACTTGAAGCATCTGCCCATTGGCCTCTGTTATAAGCGCATTTTGATTTTTCTCTTCTTTTCTAACTGTAAACCTCCAATTCCAAACAGCTGGGACAGAAGATGAAATATGTATTTGACCTAGAACAGTACAATGCCATGAACTTCAAAACCTCGGACAGCACTTATGTATATATTATGTGTGTGTAAAGTATGTTTTTTCCTTCTCCTGTAAAGTTACATATATCTCCTGTAAAGTGTATATATATAACTTTACAGGAGATATATGTAACTTTACAGGAGAAGGAAAAAACATACTTTACTTTTAATGTAAGTCAATGGAACCAGACTATTTTCCAAGTAATTTGGGCTTGTTTTTTTTTGGTCTATTTATCATGAAATGTACACTCAATGTAAAGGGCAACAGGCATTTTAAAATTATGTCAAAAACTGAAAATATATGTATACACACTGTTTGCCGCTGCACCCACAAATATAAGTTAAGACTGTACTGTGGACAGTGGAAGTCATAGGTCAACAACATCCAGAAACGATGCCGGCTCTGGGCTCAAGCTCATTTGAAATGGACCGATGCACAGTGGAAAGGTGTAATGTCATCTAATGAGCCAACTGTTCAGTTTGTTTATGGAAACAATGGATGTTCAACAATGGGCCAGAAAAGAAAAGGACCATCCAGATTGTTACCAGTGTAAAGTTCAAAAGCCAGAGTCTGTCATTATGTGGGGTTGTATTATGGCCCATGGCATGGGAAACTTTAAAACTAAGATATATGCACATATTTTAGAGCAACACACTATGACTTCAAAAGGATGAACAGTCACATGCAAAAGTTTTGGCACCCCGGTCAAATTATGTTTTGATTGATTGATTGATTTATTTAAAGTGAAAAAAAGTTAGAACATCCACTACAGAGAACACATTTTAATGCATAATTGCTGTTTATTTGCTGAAGTTAACAAAAAAATAAAAGCAAAAAAAAAAATGGCCTGTGCAAAAGTTATGGCACATTTTATATTTTATGTTTTATTTTTTTCCAATATGTTAAACCCCAGAAATAAACAGAAATTTGCAATCATATTTACCTTTGTTCCCTGTAGAGGATGTGTTAACTTATTTTCTCCTCAACAAAACCGTTTGACCAGAGGTATTCAGCCTCTTGCATATGACTGTACGTACAGCAGCTGGACAAAATTGATGTAGAGGTTTTTGAGTTCTCTCTCAGCTCCTCTGCTCATTTTTCTTTCCTTTTGCAACTCTCCTCTTTAGGCTATTACAGTGCCCCTGATGTGTAGAGTAAATGTGATTGCCCTCCGAGCCCAATAAGATTAGCTGAGGGAGAATTGACAGATGCTGTGATTGAACTGCAGGCTCTGACAGATTTACGGCAATATGAGATGACTGAAAGCATTAAGGGTGGACTGGGAGGAGCTGCTAAATACCTGTGTGTTCTGCCTCTGTTCAGACGGTTTTTACCTCACAAAATGGTGCACGACCTTAGATAGAGAAGAGGATAGTGACAGAGGAAGAGAGTGCAGTTCTCTTTGTCAAATAGGGTTGCAAATGATAAATGGAGCCCCAGGCCCGAAAGCGTGCTCAACTGAGTAATAAAGCAGTGGTTAACTGTTGCTCCCTGGTGGTGATTTGTATATTTGCTGTACCACACATTTGCTATTCATGTGCAACAGACTGCAAATTGAAACCACACAACCACACAGAAGTGAGCACTAGGGGTTCCTAATGAATAACTGTCTGGGAAATATGTGTGTGCTGTTTCTAACACCAGCGGAAACGGAGCACGCTCAGAGAGTTCCGGACATGGATGCGGCCCAACAGCTGAAGCTGAGAGAGAGACAGCGCTTCTTTGAGGAAGTCTTCCAACACGATGTGGATGTTTACCTCTCCTCAGCACATCTGCAAATAGATTACAAGAGACGTGAGTAAAGCGTGTATTACATGTGGCCTATATCATGTATATACATACATTTTTCTTGCTTTTTTTCAAATATAGGTATTTGATATACTAAGTAATCACTGTATGTACAATGAATGTTGAATGAATGAATGGAATCACTGTTAAAATACACTGTTCACTTTCCAGTCTATACATAGAAAGCATAAAAACAACCTGATTTTAATCCATCATGGTTGTGATGCCATCCACATTGGACCACCCATTCGGCCTATAGGAATTTAAGTGATAAGGAGTGTTGCTACTGCTGGTATTCTGTAGGAGTCTGTAGGATCTAGACATCTGAAAGGAGTGGTTGAAGTTTAATTTTTCCCCAAAATAAGATTAATAGTTGTTCCATTCTGCACAGTATAAGGCTGCCAATCAGAACAAAGGTCATTTACATCTATCAGTCTTAAAGGCACAGTAACAAAAACAGCCTGTTCAGTTTTGAGAAATAAAGTGAGGTTGGAAAATGGTCATGTGAAAATGAAATATGACCATTTTTGGACCCACACAGATGTAATAAGTGGGCCACTGAGGAAAAATAAAATGCAAGAAAATGTAGGACCTAGCCCCTTATAAAATAAATGTGCTAAAAAAAGTTTTTTCAGAGTGATCCCAAGGAAATTGTAGAATATTGGCCCCTTAGCATGCACTTTTAGGAAACTGTTTCTTATTTGTGTATATTTTTCCCATGCTCCTTAGCTCCCATGGGCAGTATCTCCTCCATGGAGGTGAATGTCGACATGCTAGAGCAGATGGAACTGATGGACATCTCAGATCAGGAGGCTTTGGACGTGTTCCTGGGCACGAGTGGAGAGGACGACGCAATCCCTTCTCCACTACCAGGTAGCACTGTACAGATTATGACTGGGTTTCTCAGTTCACAGACATTTGTGGCCAAGTACTACAACTAGGAGTGATGTGTGATGGCCAAGTTTTTCAACAGCACCAAGTACTCATTTAAAAGAATATTTAGACAGTTTTCTCCCTTAATCCAAGTGTAGTTGATTAGCCAAGGCATACTTAGTGACCAAAGTTTGTTACTTTTGGAGCTACAAGGCTAGAGTAGCTAACAAATGATAGAATTATTATCCATTAGCATTGTGAAAGTTGCACACTTTGAATTGCATTATTAGGTATTGTCAAATAGACTTATGTGGTTTCTGACACTGTATGACATGCTATTATCTACAGTCATATGAAAAAATAAGTACATTCCATGAAAAGTTTAGACTTTTTACCATATTTTGACATACAGATATCTGATCTTCATTTAAACAATGCTGATAGGAAAAAAAAACAGAAATGCAGTTTTCCTATATGGAAAAAGTAAGTACGCCCCTACACATATCAGAATATCTTGGAGAAACTTGTCTTGTTTAAACCTCAGATGACAAGTCAAAGATGTGGCCCAAAGTTGTTGGGCCACAGTACCAGAAGCCATGTTTGCTGAATACCAAAGACAGCAGTTGATCAGAAGAACCTCATACTAACTGTAAAGCATCATGGTGGAAATATTATGGTTTGGGGCCCCTTTGCTGCCTCAGGGCCTGGCCAACTTGCAATAGTAGAATCGACTATGAATTCCTTTTCATACGAGAGAGTGCTTGAGGAGAATGTGAGGCTATCTATCCAATTGAAGCTAAAGAAGTGGACCTTCCACACAGGATAATGATCCCAGTCATACAAGTAAAAAAAATGAATATTTTTTCCTGCTTTCATCTAAACCAAGTATGACATGCATAACTGAGTTCATCTGGGATAAGAGGAATATAGTGTGAATTTGATTTTTCAATGTACTATTTCTTTATATACCAGTTACCAGAGAAAACTGGACTGGATTTGGATTCCAAAGTCTAATATGAATTAGAATACGTGGGTCAGTGCTGGGGGTAATGTGTTACAGTAATTTGATTACTTTTTGCTGTAACAAATTAGTGTAACACATTACTGTATAAATTCCTGTAATTAAATTGCAGTTACCATATCAGAAGTTGGGTTGATGTCTGATATTCTCGCTGTTAACATTGTTCTTCTGGTAAACTGTGAATGTTCCTCTCTAGTTCTTGCCTGCAGTAATGACAGTGAGGATCCACTGAGAGAAGAAATCTCCCTGAGAGTTCCAGACAGCTGCGAGATCAAATCGCGGATGTCCTCCACCTCCTCAAACTCCACATCTGACAGCCAAGCCACTAATGAGGACGGAGCTGAAACCCCTGTCGTCCAATCAGATGATGATGATGAGGATGTTCAAGATGATGACCTTTTGATATCGGGAACTCCCTCAGCTGAAGGTGAAGGTGAAGCCCAGTCTGAGCTGACAATATAAAGAGACTCATCAATTTCTACTGATCTCCTAACATAATGTCTCTCTAGTGATAGACGTTTTCTGCTGGGTTGACCGGTTGTACCGATCTACCAAAGACTTTAATGGACTCTTGTATGCACATGATTCTTCTTCTTAAAGAACTGTCCTTCACCTGAACTGCTGCTGTAGATAATAATGCTCATAGAGGTTTGCGTATGGCATGTTCCTTCTTTACGTCTTGGATTTGTGTTGCTTCATTAATGACTACGTGTTGATTAGATGTCAAATAGAGAAACGTATGATTTAACGCCTCATTTATGATTAACGTTGCCAATGTTTAAAGTGTACTATTCTGCAGATCAGTGCTGCTCAGGTAAGAGCAAGCTTAGAGCTCTGCGGTTTGGAGTGCTAGTCATTAAGCATATGTGATTGTCCACAGTCTAACTTTCTATGTTGTAGTCTTTCTCACAGTCTTTTTTGTGTCTTGAAGATGTCTTCCCTCTGATCTCCGCAATACCTTATATTTTGCTATCAAAATAAAGCCAAACTTGGGATATTCATGTTTAATAAAAATGCATATGAAGCCTGTAATCCCTTATGTTGTTACTGAGTTATTGTGAGACAACACAGGAGATGTGGAGATAGCTAGTTCCACATTGTTGGTGTACAGTAAGAGACCCATCTGTGGCAGAGTTCCCAGGCGGGGAGTGGGTGGGGATGAGTGAGGGTGTTGGTGAGGGTGTTGGTGTGGGGGGGGGTGAGTGAGGGGGGGGGGTGAGTGAGGGTGTGGGGGGGCTTCCCTGGTGAAAGGTCTCACTATGAGTTGGCATCTCTTATCTTTATGAATATACAGATATGGCTATTTTTGTCATCTTTTTTATTGAGTCAAAATGTTTAATGTTATGACTATCGGGTTCTCCTTGTAAACAAAAAAGAAGATGAAAGTCCTTTATGACTTAGAAGCTGACAAGGAGACACCCCGGCAAGTGGGTCTATTAGCTTAACTTTTCTCAATAAATGTATTAAAATGTATTATTTAAGTAAAACAACAACTTGATTTACTTGTCAGCAGGCAGGTTTTGTGGGTCCCATGGAGGTAAAGCCAAGTTATGATTCAGTTTGCTGGACGAAGTAAAATTCTGGTAATATATTGGTTGTTGTGCAAAACCACGTGTTATCGCATGATGCAACGGGCTAGTGTGAATATTACCCACATGCTCTGAAAAAAAGGAAAAAGCACAACTTTTCAAATTTTCACACTATGTTTTTGACTTAGGGCACTAGAGATCGCCCAACTCAAACGTTTTAGTATAGGCACTAGGCTCCTAGTTCAGAGTAGCTGTGGCATCACTAGGGTTCCAACCAGCAATCTCTCAATAATGGGCTTGGAAAGATACCACTTGTGGAATTGATGGTAAATAGATATAGCTGCCCTGTGATGGACTGCTGACATGTCCAGGGTGTTTCCTGCCTTCTGCCCAATGAGTGCAGGGATAGGCTGCAGCACCCCCGGGACCCAGGAGGATAAGCGGCTTAAAAATGTGTGTGTGTGTGTGTGTGTGTGTGTGTGTGTGTGTGTGTGTGACTAGATATAGGCCCATACCTACCTATTAATGGAAGCTTTCAGTCACATTATATACAAGAGAAAACATACATAAAACATATATTTGTATATATGTACATACACACACACACACATATATATATATATATATATATATATAGTGGTGTGAAAAAGTGTTTGCCCCCTTCCTGATTTCTTATTCTTTTGCATGTTTGTCACACTTAAATGTTTCAGATCACCAAACAAATTTAAATATTAGACAAAGATAACACAAGTAAACACAAAATGCAGTTTCTAAATGAAGATCTTTATTATTAAGGGAAAAAGAAATCCAAACCTACAGGGCCCTGTGTGAAAAAGAGACTGATAGCTCTCAATTACTTTGTTTCTCATTTGTTCCTGAATTTCTTTGGATCGTAGCATGATGTCTAGCTTTTGAGGATCTTTTGGTCTACTTCACTTTGTCAGGCAGGTCCTATTCAATTGATTTCTTGATTGAGAACAGGTGTTGAAGTAATCAGGCCTGGGTGTGGCTAGAGAAATTGAAGTGAAAAACCCTAGGTTTGGATTTCTTTTTCCCTTAATAATAAAGACCTTCATTTATAAACTGCAATTTATCTTTGTCTAATATTTAAATTTGTTTGGTGATCTGAAACATTTAAGTGTGACAAACATGCAAAAGAATAAGAAATCAGGAAGGGGGCAAACACTTTTTCACACCACTGTTTATATATATATATATGTATATATATATATGTACTTGTGTATATATGTGTATATATGTATAAATATATATATATATATATATATATATATATATACACACAAAAGAAAACAAGTATTTGAATGAAGATGCTAGCTAGATGCTCTTAGCAGTTTAGTGGACATTACTCACAATGCTAAGGGAAAAAATCCATGTTTTAGTTTGTAGATGTAACAATCTGTAGCCTATACGAAGTGTAAGCCTGACTACACTTGAAGTACGACTGGGCCATTCCAGCCTAAAACTAGTTTAATTTGTTCTGTGTTGTGTTATGCAGTATGTCCTGTAGCCTCATCAGTTTGACAAATGTGTGACACTACTTCACCCAATATGCATTGCACCTGTGGTCACCAACTCTGCTCTTGGAAATGTAACTTTCTGCACACCTCAGCTTCAACCCTAATCCTCCCCACTTGATACATGTAACTACTTCCTTCAGAAATCCTTGATTAGCTGAAGGAGGTATATTAGATTTGGGTTAAAGGTGAAACCTGCAGGAGGGTAGATCTCCAGGAGGAGCACTGATGTCCACGGCATACAAAATACATAATATAACCATTGAGAATCCCTGTGGTGCCAACTGATTCTGACCTTTAGCCTAGCTACTTATCTATTGGCAAATAAGTACAACCAAGCTAGCAAACCAAGTGGCATTCTCACCTCAGTCATCACGAAACAGCAGTTAACAGCAGTTAAAGTTTAACAGCTAGTCTGTCTTCACTCATCACAAATGAATGCTAGAGTTTTACACCCTTTCAGCCAGAGAAAGTAAGACAAACTGAGGTAAGGTATGTAGGGGAGCACAGGCAACAACCTAACGCAGGGCACAATTTAACACTGACATTTCATGTTGTTATACAAGGTCAGACAGCATATGCGTCTGGCCACATTACCACATTTCCTAGCCACAGACTCGCGCCAAAATTCAGAGTAATTTGTCAGCGTTTTAAGAGATCTGTGCCAAAGAGTGTTCTCAGGGCAAGTAAGTAATTTTTTTGTTACTATAATGTAAAGTAATGTTTTTTTAGTTACTGAGCTGTTTGTGTAAATCACAAAATCCAACCTTATATTACTTTAATCACCATCTTGTTGCCTACAATGTAGCACCGTTTTGAAGCATGTTTACAGCAAGTGCTAGTTAGGCTTAAGTACAGCCTCCGACCTGCGAGGTTAGTTGTGACACCATGTTACAACTAAGACACCTTTAGTAAACAAAGACAAATAAAGTAAACTTTGTCTTTTTGTTCAATACGTTTTCACAGATCTTAAAATGAAAAAAAGAAACCATCTAAAAAAACAGGGATTTTCTTCTACTTTATTGGTATCTTTCAGTTGTTAGTATTTTGGTTGTAAATAAGTATATTAATGAAATTGACATTAACAGCTGGTAAAGCTGTAGTTATTCAGAAACAATGTTCCATATTTTACTGATGTGTGTGGTTTTTACTTGCTGATCTTTTATTTGCTGATCTGGACAAAAATAATTTGTCATTATTTGACACACAGTCTCATGTCAGTTCTCGTATATAATTTAATGTGTGTGTGTCTATCTATCAACTGAGCTGTCTGTCTTATAGATATATAATATCTATATAATATATAATGCAGTATGGTGGGAAAAATATATTTGTGTATTACAACACAGAATTATACAGACTTACCTTTGTTTGCACTAATGCATGAGACTTTTTTAGCAAGCGTTACAACTAACCCTCTGTTACAATTAACCCCACTAATGGGTGAATTGTAACATTGCACTTCCCGTCAATTTTGGTGGAATTGTACATGAACAGTAGGTACTAGAAACAAAGGTCAAGTGTTTGTTTGTTGCAGAGACACATGTGTTACTCATATAAAAACATGATTATTCCAACTTAAATATTTTTTACATTTTTTCACAAAAAACAAAACGTGTTAGGTTGTGCCCCGCTCTCCCCTGGATAGCCAGGTAGCTACTTTTTCTAACTTTAGCTTTTAGCTTGTCCTCCTCATCTGAAAAGTCATTTCTGTCATTTGACTAATGATGGTTTGAAGATAGTTACAGGCCGCAATAAAATATACAGCTTTCTAGCAGTAATGTGAGCTATTTGGCTTCACCAGCATTCATCAGCGAATGGAAAAAAACATTCAAAACAGCCGGACTCCAAAAATCCACCCCAAAGCAGTTGTAGTTTTCTAAACTTTCCCCTACCTTCAACAGATGTCATCAGTAGGGGGCTTTCCTAATCTTTAAACCGAAAAATCTCACTCTAGAGACTACTGTGACTCGCTGTAGGGTGTGAGAAAACATGTTTAAAACAGATGCAGCAATGGTTACATTTTTCATTTTGGTAGGAGTGTCCCTTTAAACGGTCTAGTACAAAAAAATGAATAGTGACTCAATTAGTTGCTACTTTCTGAAAAAGAAAGTGTTATTGAGTAATAAGAAAACTGATATCTTTGTGCTTCATGAGTCAAAAACTGAATATTTTGCTTTGTCATCTTTAATACAACAGTGCTTTTTCCTTTCAAACAGAGGTGGGGGTCAGGAAAGTGAGAAAACTAAAAAAACAAAACAAAGTCGGACACAAACTCCACCAAAACCTGTTTCACGAGCTCGGAGCTGGAGAATCTGATTGAGTGATAAACGTAACGTGCATTGTTCGAACTATCTGACTGATCCAGGCACAGGTGTGCCTTCACATTGACTCACTCTCCTTGAATGTAAATCAGTGTTGTTTTTCACATAATATGTCAATAAACACTCTGAGAGAAAAAAGTTTTCATTAGTCTGGATTCAGTCATGTCCAACCTTATATGCTCAGCTACTTTTCAGTACCCACTGGCTCTGCCACTGGTAGTTTATGACCAAGTCCTATTAATTAAATTATTATTATTTTTCTTTTATAATTAACACTGGATTTTTTTTTTGATTATAGTATGTAAACATTGTTACATTTTCAATGTTTCATTCACTCTCCAGCTTATGGAACTGAAGCTGCAAAAACAGCCTGTTTTGAATTAATTGTTTTGGTGATGTCATGAAAACCAACACATTTACATACATCCACCCATTCAGCCCTCTCACCACAGTGATGTTATAAGGAGTGTTTAAGCCTGGACTGTTTTTTAAATGAGGTGCAGTACAGGGCAGCCAATCAGAGCAGATTGCATTTACATATATTAGTCTTAAAGGCACAGTAATAGAAAACAGCTGAATTCCAAGGGATAAAGAGAAGTTGGATCTAAT